TGTGCTCGTTTATTTAATATTTAAGCAAAAATTTTGGGTTCAAACTCGCTCGGTTAATTATTTGTCAAAATCTGAGTTCGTTCGTCTATGAATAGTAAATAAAATAAATGTATTAATACTATTTGATTAGAGATCAATTCGCTCGACCTCAAAAATTGAAAGAAACTCATACTTTTAAAATTTTTTAATAAAAAATATCGTACATTATAATTATCTAAATAACAAATATATTAAATTAATGTTCGTGAACATTATCTAACATTTGTGAATAGGCTCGTGTCAGTTCGACTAAGAAGCTTACCTAATATTTTGATCGAGCTCGGCTCAATCACTAAACACAAGAGCATTCTTCAAATTAATTGTTCCCCCTAACCAAAATTATATGTGTAACTAGTTTTTGGCCCGTGCATTTGCACGGAAGCTATATGATAGAAGAGAATAAAGTAAAAAAAAACAAATATAAAAATAATAACATAATCATTGAAACAAAATAAGAAATAATATCTAAATATTATTAAATATTTCTTTATATACAACGTTCGTGGTTTTTCTATCCTCACAATCTCCATCAACACAAATTATTATCTCCAAACTCCTCCGACTGATGACTCTAGATCGTGCCACATACAATTGTCCATGACTTAATACATGATTCTTCATTAGTAAATTGAAGTCTTGGAGGAGTACGTCAACAAATCTCTTGTCAACACCTTTTGAAGATGGTAGTTTGCACATTTTGGTACATGACTATTCTAACGATTATATCTTCAAAATAATAATAATAACAACAATAAGAATAAAAAAATAATTGATTGATATAATTAAAACAACAAAGGAAAATGTAATAGCTATTTATAAAGACAAAAAATTAAACAGTACCTATAAGCATAGTTGGGTTAACAAACTTTGGACTATTGTACCCTCACTTGGCGTGTACCATGTCCCGAGTTCGAGTCACTCGGAGGGGAATTGGGGAACCAGTTTAGATCCTCCTTTTTAAGAAGAAAAAAACAAACTTGGGACTATTTAAATCCTTGAAATTTTTGAACTTGTACATGGAAGAATTTATAAACACCGCCAGTTTTGTTTTTCCATAAAATAGGAATATATTGAAATTCATCCATGTTTTGAAGGAGTTAGTATTGGGATTATAAACAAATTTATCTGGCCATCATAATTTAGCTAAGTATTAATTTATTTTAATTAATATAAATAATTCGAATTATAATGTGTCTGATCTTTGGGATTAATTTTTGCAAAATAAATATGAATAAACAACTGTTATAAGTCATTCTTTTGCTGATGGGGATTTTCCAATTACGGGGAATAATTATCATAATTACTTTATTAATAATTATAATAAGCAATTTGGAAGTGACATAATGTGAAGGAAATGATA